CCAGGAGGAGTCCGGAGGGCGGGTGTTGCACCAGATTAGCAGCGCACGGCGTCCCGATAGGGGCCATGGGACAGCTGCCGCGCGTCAGCCCCCCCGCCCGTTTCGGGGGGTCCTTATCTGAGTGCCGAAATAATTGACAGCTTGCGGTCTGCCGGGTGGACGGTCGCCCGTGTGGGGTTCTTCACTCTGCTGGAGCTGTAGGAACCGCTTGGAGGTCTTACAGCCCTGCCGGACAAGCAAAGCATACACGGGTGGGGGGTTACTGAATAAATTATAAAACATTTTGAGTTCCGCAACCTTATCCTCTTGAACCAGCTCCCCAAAATGCACTTTTTGGCCCCTCTCTGGGCGAAAGCATCTGGCCGGGCCGCTGTGAGCCCTCAAGTCTTGGTGTCTGACCGCAGCTCCCATGTCCCAACTTCCTTCTAGCTTTCTACTTCGGGATCTGCCTCAGCATGACCCTGATCCTCGCAGCCCTGCTGAGCTCTGCGGCCACGGTGCGGGAATCGCAGTGCCTCACCGCCATGGTGCGTATCGGGGGGCGGGGGGCGGCTGGGAGGGGCTTTCTGTAACCTTGGCTTGGTACCCTGAGAGTGCGGTGCCGGGGGCTGTTTTGCCTTGTGCCTGGGAGCATGCAGGCCTGGGGAAGGACGTCCTCTTGTCCCACCCTGTGCTGCAAGAGGCATGGCCCTGCAGATCTCCTCCAGTTGAGGACCGCATCCTTCCGTGCCTTGCTTCTTTTGCCGAGATGCTGTGTACACGGCCTTCAGCGTGGGGTCGAAGGCGGGTGCTTATCTGCCAAAGCGATTGCAGCGATGGCGATCCCCAGCATATTTTTTCTCACCAAGGCGACACGTGGCTTGCATGGGGAAACACTAGCAGTGCAATTCTGAGCAAGAATTCAAGTCCCACGTTGTTCCTCTGGCTTGTGACAGCAAAGCCAGCTCCCCTCCTTCCCCCCTCGCTGCAAACATCCACCACAGTGGCGGGGCGGGGCGGACAAAGCAAGG